CCCCGGTTCGCCGTCCCCCCCGCCCCACACGCACCCCTGGCCGCTATCTCCCGCTCCTCCCGCCGGGCTGAGGCCGAGCACGGCTCATCACCCCGCTGCCCGCAGCCGCCTCCATGCGCTCGGCTCCATGCAGGGTCCGCAGCCACTGCGCACCCGGAGAAGAACCGGCCGCCCCCTCCTCCTCCCCTCCCCGGGGCACGGCCACCTTTGCTACCTATTTATAGCGCAACCCCCGAGCCCCCCCTCCCGCAGCYCTTTCTTTTTTGCGTGCAGTGAGTAAAAATAAACACTATTAATAGGCCAGCGCCTGTATGCGGTGCCGCTGATGGAAAGGAGAAGGYAGCGGCAAGGGACAACCTGCATTAACTTTCTCCTTTCTCCCTGCCATGCCCTCCTTTGGAAAAGGCTGGGGCAAGATGCTCCCAGCCGGCRGCGGCATCCTGCCCTGCTTGGCGGAGTAAATGCCCCCGCCCGGGGTGGGCAGCCGAGCTGTGAAGGTCGGGAGCCGTGCCCGCAGCCCGCTGCCATCCCCCGCCGCCACCATCGCCCCTTCCCGCATGCAGCCGCGACGCAGGGGGTTGTTGTTTTACCTGGTTTTAATGCTCGAGGATCAGCTTGCTCCCCCCACCCCGTTTTTATTTTTTTCCTCGCCGGTCCTTCCAGCCCTTGGTGCGAAGCCTCATTCCTCGGTGAGCATCGCTAATAGCGTTGGCAGAGAGCTGGCATCGACTTGCACTTAATATTCCTGCCCCATTGGATCTGCTGATAAATCTCAACTCTGACGTCAAAGTCTTCACTTATATTCATGATCCAAGTCTGTGAATCAGAGCCGCTGTGATCAGAATAACAACAAGGCTGGCTCCCTGCTCCACATCCCCATCCACACCCGCAGGCACGCGGGGGGTGCGCGCACCCGCCCCGCCGATCGTTCATTCATGAGCTCTCCCGCCACCCCGACGCACCTCCCCAAGGTCGGGGCCCGCTGCACCTGCGTCCTGCGGATGCAGCTTGGGCACCAGCCAGGCCCCGGCGCCTCGCAGGGTTTATTTTTACCGCCTGTGCCGAGGGACGCGGGGCTGTGGAGGGAGGGGGTGATCCGGCGTGGCGCGGCTCCGGTGCCGCGCTCCTCAAGGACAATGTCCAGGACGGCAGCGCGGGTCCCCCCGCGCCTCCGGGACACGGCAGCCGAGGGTGCTCCGGGGGTCCTGTGCGGCCAGGCTGGGGCAGGAGCATCCCTCCACAGGGAAACACCGCACCCCAGAGCCTCCGCCCCACACGGGCTTCCCTCCAGCCAGAGAAGAGCTGGGATGAGGAGGATCCGCACCTGGGAGCTTTGCGTGGGTAGCCCAGCCCAGCCCAGCCCAGCCCAGCCCAGCCCCTGCCCAAGCACGCTGGGTGAGGGGATCTGTGCCCCTCACGGCAGCACCCACCCATCCCCAGAGCTTCCTTCCCGATTCATTTGGGAAAGGAACAGCCTGCAAAGGAACAAATCTCAAAGACACGATTATTTTTCCAGCCATAAATGGCTCCGTGATTCATCTCGGGAGCGGGATCATCAAAGCAAGGATGCACAGCTCCTGGATCCGCACGATTTCAGCTACACCTTCTCCCCTTTTCCTAATGGTTTCATAACACTCCAGCTTCCCTCTTTCATCCCCCTCTCTCTTCCAGGCTGGAGCTTTGTGGTGCAGCCAGCTCAGCGCTGGGAAGGATTTCCAGCTCCTGATGCGCAAAGATATTTAGGTGAAAATCAGCGATTTTGGCTGAACCCGACCGCCCCAATTTGGAGCATCTGGGCTCCTAATCAGGCCAAGCCCCATCTCAGGGACTCGAATCGTCATCTACCTGGGGCCGGCGGGCGCGTGACCGAGCGACAGGAGCGGCATCAGAAGGGGCGGAGGAAGGCGGGAGAGGAGCTGAATGAATTCGCTCCCGCTGCCGGTAATTACGCACCGCCCGGGAGAGGGGAGGCGGCTGAGCTCAGCCTGGCTCCCATCGGGAGGGAGTGCGGGACACGGGCTGGCAGGAGCAGAGGGGATGTGCCGGCCGTGCGTGGTGATCCGTGGGGTCAGAGCCCACCCGGGACGGGGTACAAGCGGCTGTAGGGCTGAGCAGGGATGTCCCTGCTGTCCCCAGCCAGTGGCTGCAGCCCCCGGGCACCGGCTCCGGCAAGGCTGAGCGAGGGCGGGCACACGCGGGACACACCAGTGGCACCAGAGTGACCCTTGGATCCTGTCACCGGCAGCTGCCCCTTGCAGGGACACGCGCACCCCAGAGGGTCCCAGCTGATCCCAAACCCCATGGGCTCGCTGGAATTGCCTTGGATCTCCTGCTGCCTCACCCCTCCTGCCCTCTCCCTGCAGAGACCCTCTCAAACACCCGGCACTCCCAGAGCAGCCCCGACATCCCACCTTCAGCTCCTCCCCCCGACATCCCACCACGAGTTTGCCACAATCCCAGGATGTTTTTCCGATGTCCTACAGAAATCCCAGTCCCTCACAGGTGTTACCCGCTTGGCTCCAGAAATGCCCCCTTTCCATGCACTCATCCCGGTGGATTCAGCCAGTGATGGGTCCTGCTTGTCCTCCTGCCCAGGGAAGAGCAGCYCCCTGTCTCCAATGAGATTTTTGGGGTTTCACCTGTGCGAGGGGGTGCAGGGGATCGGCAAAGCACCAGCTGGGGTATCCCAAGAATTTCTGAGATTTTCTGGTGGCAAACCCAACATTATCTGGCCCCTTTTAAAGCAGGGCTGTCCTGTTGCACATGAGAGGATGTGTCACTGCACACATTATTTTTAACGTTTGAGAATCTACTTTTTGAAGTTGTGTATCATGTTCTGAGTCCCTTGAGCAGCTGTAAGACTGTTCTGACAATATTAATATATTAGATATGCTTTATCTATATTTAAATTACAGACTCAATAGCAAGGAGCAAAGATCCGAGCTAAGCAAAGACATAAACCTGCCGCTGTAATTACAGAGCAAGAGGCCACCAGCCTCACCTGCGAATGCTGCTCAGCGTGGAAAAAGCCTCCCACCTTCATTCCTCATCATCCTCCTTGCTGTTTGGCCCTTGGGGGAAAGCTCAGTGCTGAACAAGCCGGGTTTTCCTATGGCACTGACCTGTGGGGATGCTCGGTGCTCTAAGCCCATGGCAGGGCTTGACCCGGGGCTCATCCTGCCTTAGAAATTGTGCTTTTTCGGTTAAAACAAGTGTGTGGCAAGTTAAAACCAGGGTGGCATCACTGATGACATGGCTGGCCCAGGGCCAGCCCACTGGGAGCCAAATCTGGAACGAGGGCTGCTGTTTAATGGGCACACTGTGGCACAGAGGAATAACCACAACTCCAATTCTCCATCGTTTTTGCCTCCAGAAGCATTAAAATCGGCTTTACATCTCTTCCCTTGGAAACGTCATCACCTYCCAGCAGCCCGTGAGCGTTTCCCACCCCGGCTCCCACTCCTGGGGGAGCATCCTGTGGCTGAGCTGACAAATCCATGAGCTCAGCGCCTCGTGACCCCCGAGCCGGGCTCAGAGCCGCGCTGCTGGAACATTCCCCCACATATTTATCCCGGTGTTTTTTCCGCAGCGAGCGGATCCAGCCTTATTCCAGCACCTCCCTGTTACTCCAAGGGTGCTTGACGAGCTCTAAGAAGGAAAGGAACAGCTATAATTAGCAGTGCTGACTAATCAGGGTRGCAAACAAGCGCTCAGAGCCCGCCAGCCTCCCCAAAATGGGGCCGTCGGGGGCCGCGCGCCGCTGGGGAGCGCGTGGAGTCCTACATTCCGAGGCTTTGCATAATTCTTGCTGGAAATGAGGCCATTTTCTCACTGCTGCCACTGGAAAGATGGGATTTCTCCCGGTGCTGCTCCACCTGCAGCATCCCAGCCCGGTGGGAAGGACCAGGGCTCCGTGGTCGGGTGGGGTGATTGAGGTGCTGATAACAGAGCCGGGCAGTGGAGGAGTTGGAGGGTGGCAGGCAGGAGTGAGGCTGATAAAATCATCCATTTCTGTGGAAAAGCATCTGATTTTCCTGAAAACCCTCTTTGCAGGTGACCTCTTTCCCGGCCCTGGCTTGCAGGRGTGACCTCTGCCATCCTGCTGCAGCAGCACTCCTTATTTTACCGTGTGTGAACCATGGGTGGATTTCTGGCTCCTCCAGCACCTTCCTGTCCCCAAACGAGCTCTCTGGGTGTCCAGCTTGGGGACAGTGGGGACACCGCGCCTGTTGCCATTACACATCCAGGGAACATTTCCCATTCGGGGGGACAATGCCCGCTGTGCCAGAAGGAGCAGCTCTGCGCGATTCCGAGCCCACTCCAACTTCTCCTCCTGATTCCCACCAAACAAACACTCAGGCAAGGCCAGGGAAGGGATTTTTTCCTCCTTCCATCAGTGATATCATCCCCACATGAATGGTTTTGCTCCAAGTCCTTTGCTGAGCCAGAGGAACACGTTTTGGAGCACCTTTGCTGGCACACGCCGTGACACCATATGTCAGGAGGAGGGCTTCTGGGAAAAGTGTTTTTTTCCAAAATAAAGGGGKTTTGCACTGTGTTTTGCTCCT